AGGCGCTCGCAGACCGACAGGTACCGCGTGGCTCGGAACTTGTTCTCCAGGGCCACCAGCTGCTCGTAGGTGAAGGCGGTGCGCGCCCTCCGCGGCTTCCCGCAGCCCGGCTCTGGCCGCCGCCGCCGGGCGCTCCGCGGCGAGCCCGGCTCCTCCGGCCCGGGCGGGCTCGCGGTGCCGGTCCCGGTTCCGTCCCCGCTCGGGTCCTCCTCGTCGCGCTCCTGCCCCGCGTCCTCGGCGCCGCTCTCCGCCGGGGCGTGCGCACCTAGGTGAGATGGCGGGGCTCGTCAGGAGATAGCGCATCCTCCTCCCGTTCCCCTTCTGAGCCCCGCGCTTCTGCTCCGACATCCCTCCCTCCCCCCAGCATAGGGCAATCATTAAAAATAAAATAAAGAGGAGAAAAATTCCGCCCGTCGTGCGAGAACCGGGCCCCCCCCCACGTCCCCTGCTGTGCCACCGCATCCGCGGCGGGGAGGGGGGAGCCGTCGATATGGATTTCTTACCAATTAAAAAAGAAGTTATTAAAGTCCCCTTCTGAAGCGAAATAAATCCCCCCCTCCATATCCCTGCGCTAATGGAGTTTCAGATTTGCGAGGGCCAGATCGATAGATGTCATCTATTAAAGGTAAGTTTTAATCGAACAATATTAGGATCAGGCCGGGGGAAGGAGGTTTGAAGTGGGCACCTGCAAGCTGCGGGCAGGAGATAGGCGGGAGTCGGTAATAGGATATCGATCACCGGGAGCTAAGGCATCCTCCGGTGGGGACGGGCTGAGCAATTACCCAGCCGGCCGTCCCGTGGGCCGGGGCATCCGACCGCTGCCGCCCCGGGGAAAGGAGCACCCGGGGGCCGCCCTTGCTGGAGGAAAGAAACCCGTGCGGTGCCTCGGTAAGAGCCGCGGCCCGTCCGGACGGGATGGGGCGGCGGCGAGCCCTGATGTGAGCCCTCCTGCTCGGGCAGCAGAGGATGCTCCGCACGCCGGGAGCCGGGCAGGGCACAGGGATATCGAAAACTTTTCGCTCTGCATCATCAAGACTTAAAATCCAGTTCCAGCCCCCCTTCCCTCGTTCCTGCGGGACCCCGCGCGGGGAGCGCGTCCCGCCGGCCGCGGGGCCGAGGGTCCCCGTCTGCCGGCGCCTCCACCTGCGCGCCCCGCCAGCGCCGGCCGGAGAAACTCGAGCGCGTTCCTACCATGTGCCTCTAGTTTATTCCTCCCGCTGCCGGGAGCAGCAGCGTCCTTTCCTACTTCAACTCTTCCCAAACTTTTCTCCCGCTCGCCCAAGCGGGGGGCGCTGCCCCAGCTCCCCGAGGCCGGTTCGCGTCTTCTGCTGAATTTCTGGGGATCCAGGATGTCTAAGATGGAGAAGGAGATTTTATGATGGATGGGGGCCGCCTTGGCCCCTCGCTCCGGGCATTCCGGCATCCCACCCCACCCTCCGCGCTTCCCGGAGACCTGCTGGCTCCCAGCGCGGAGCGCAGCGCCGGGCGCGGAGCCGGGCCGCTCCCGAGCCGCACGCTCGGTGCTGGCGGCGCGGAGTGAGCGCCGGGGAGGAGGGTCGGCCGGGGAGGCGGAGGGGCCGGCGGCGGGGTGGGGGCAGAGGAGGGGGCAGCGCAGCCATTGGCACGCCGCCCCCGCGCCCCCTCCCCGCCGCGCTGGCTCCGCGGGGGCGCAGCGGGCGCCTCCCTCCATCCCAACCTCTCCGGGTTTTCCCGTTACCTACCCCGGGTTGGGCGGGGGGACGTGCAGAGAGGTGGGCAGGGGGCGGCCAGGAGCCTTCGGAGCCGGAGCAGGGATGCGGCTGCACCCGGCAGCCCGACGGCTGCTGGTGTCCCCCGGGGCCCGGAGAGCCACGGGCTGCACCTGTCCCCTCACCCTCCGCTGAGCCACCAGCAGCTCTCCCGGTCAGTGCGGGACCAGCGGGGTGAGCCTCGTGTTCAGAGGGACCCAGAGAGGAGGGATGGCTCCTGCATCCCCCTCCTGCGCTGGGCAGGATCCAAGCTCCAAGCACTCCCTGTGCCAGCTGCCACTGTTTGAGATGTGAAGCTATTGCCCGGTCCTCAGGCAGAAAGGAACACCTTTTCGTTTGGGAGCAGCTTGGGATCAGTCTAGTTCAGACTCTGGGCCACTCCTGCAACTCTCCCATGGTGTTCACACTGTTCCCAGTTAGTAGGCAGGGAAACTGAGGCCTGCCTGTGCTGGAGGATCTCCTACCCACTGAGCAACCCCTTAACCAGCCATCCTTGTCTTGGGGAAAACACTTTGTTGCCTGTTCACAGCTCTAACTGGGATACGGTAGGTGACAGCAGGCCAAGCCTCCCCACTCTGCACCAGCCCTGTGACCACTTCTAGCCAGTCCTGCTTATTGAAAATGTGCTTGCAGTATATTTCTGCACACCTTCAGGGGGATGCTTTTCCCTCTCCTTGGCATTTCAGCATTTGTTGGTGCCACAAATCATCAGATAGATTGGAGAAAGGCACCCTTCAGACAGGGGTGGCAGTCCTCAGGAGGAATCTGCTACTCCACCTGCTTCTATTCCTATGGAAAGATGCAAAGCACAGCCCTCCTCCTCCTCTTCATAGCTGTCTCAGCCTTAGTAGAATTTGGCTCACAAATAATTCTTGGCATAGGGCTAAAGATAAAGAGAGAGCAAGAAAATGAGATGATGATGTGCAAGGCTGATGTGATTAAAAGTAACTATTAATGTTAATTATCCAAGAACCCATTTGACATGGGCCTCTGGGGTAGAACACCACAAGAACGTAGAAGAGAAGGGAGCTCAGACATTAGGAGTTCACACCCACATGCTACAGGTGGCTAAAGCTTGGTTTTGGGGATGTGGGAGGTGGTGAACTGGGGAAAAAGTCTGGTATATGTGAGACTACAAGTACTTCTGTTTGAGTTGTTGGGTCTGCAGGAGCTGAGTATGTAAATTGCAGCATTGAAATGAATCTGTGAGCTATGAGACGTTTTCAAATATCATCAGTTTCACATGTATATACACAAAAACCTACAACAGCCTACAAACATACATGCATGTGGAAATGCTCACATACTCACGCATTAGTTCCAGCCTCTGAAGTTGGTCCATTTCCCAGCTCAGGCATTAAAATTCAGCCCAAGTGCTATCTTTAAATTGCTTTGATGCTAGGTGGGTTTCAACCCTGACCTGTCCTGACGGCAAGTGATGGCTGTAACAAGCTGTGGATCAATATTCATAGCGGGTGTCCTGCTCTGATAACACTATCCAAGACAATGTTCACTATCGCTGCAGACAGCTGAGATATTGTGCCATTAGTAATGTTGTTTTAAATAACCTGATCCATTTCTGAGTCTATTTAATGAATTTCACAGTTTAGATATTATCTTTAGGGAGAAGCCAGAGGCTATTCCAGGAGCAGTGATGCAAATCGATGCTGCCAAGGCTCCTCTGCTTTCCTTAAAACAAAATGGACTGTAATTCCACCACAGCTCCTTATACATTCCGGGAGCTGTGCCGTGCTATTGATGGCATTAGCGACGAGAAGATATTTGGGAGAAAGCAATACTGTCTGTAAACCTGGAACACAGCCGATAACATCTTATCTGCGATTGTAAAATTCTTTATACGATGAGTCAGTGGGGTTTGGTTTTTTTTACCCTTGGTTGTCATATGAATCACAGAACGGTTTGAGTTGAAAGGGATCGGGTTAATTCCACTCCACTGCCATGGGTGGAGTGGCTACCTGTCGCTCTGTTGGGAACGGTGAGAAGCACGACACAGACTCTCTTGTGGGTTGAACAGGAGAGAGCGAGGTTTATTACCTCAGATCTTCTT